TATATATATATATATATAAAATATAAATTAATTATTTATAAATATATATTATAATATTAATATTATTATATCATATAGGCTCATCAAAATGAACCATTGTATACATATATTTACGTCATTAGTCAGATATCTTCTTATCGTTTAATTAGAAATACAAGAGTCGCAAAGAAAATCGTGCGTATCAGATCGATAAAAAAAAGAATCAAGACGAAAAGCAAATAATATTGTATTTGCTCGTATAAATTCTACATGACCTGGATAGTTAACGCGTTGGAAATTAAAAATCAAGAAAAAAATTAAATAAAATTAATCACTCTTTGGTACAATCTGTCAATGGCGGCCAAATAATATCGCAGATATGGGTAGACGATTGATAAATTCAAAAAAATTTCATGAAAGAAAGACAGAGATATCAATGAAACTGATACCATTGAAAAAAAACATACCATGAAAAATAGAAAGGGAAGAAGAAGAAAGCAATAAAGATGAATTATACATTTCTAAGAATAAAATATTAAAACATCATTGTTTTAGGTACCCTAAACAATGTTTTATTTACATGTCATAAGAATGCGACATCTATTAAATGTTTCGATAAACAAATATACAATAAAAAATAGAAAAAAAGGATGAGAGAACAAAATAAGAAGAAGAATTTTTATTACACATTTCTAATAATAAAATATTAAAAGATAATTGTTTTAGGTAGCCCAAGTTGTATTAACATGTCATAAGAATGCGACATCTATCGAATGTTTCGATAAACATTGAAAAGAAGTATGTATAGATAGGTCTTCTCTAAATGTGTTCAACGTGGTAAGGCATTTAGCATTCTTAGAATTCGTTTAAAATAGAAGAGAGAGAGAGAGAGAGAGAGCGTGCGTTGATCTTAATAGTATAAGCAACTAGAATCATAGTTATGTAGATACGTATAAAGGAATGAAGGCTGTAGACGGTCGTAAACCCCACGGTATCGTGGTACAAGTCGACGACAACTAATGTACTGTGCATGCTGCATACTATTATAAAATACTACTTGAATATATAGAAGAGTATTCTATCTGTCTAACTATTTATCTATAGATCTATCTATAGACACTAGCACGTATGATACACGCTGGCTTCCTTTAATCAAATCAAAAGAGTCTGGCCGTGGCTAAGTTTCCATGACCTTCAAATACAGTTTGCCCCGCTTTCCAGACTCTACTCGTATTTCTAATGGAAGAGTAGTAGTCATACACCAGGAACGTAATATCTAAGAGCAGGAAATTCACGTCATATAACTCTAACATCCAGAACGAAGGTCATGGTTACCAGGTGAGATTTTAACAATGACGTCTTCTTCTTCTTCTTCTTCTTCTACGTCTTTTTCTTCTTCTATATTTTTTTTCTTTTAACTTAAGTTACTTTTAGAATTTCGGAAGTTATGAGTCAAATGAATTTACTTTTTTCCTCCCTTAAAGAAACAATACTCTCTCATATATATATATATACTATTGACTTATCACATTCGTGGAATTATCTGTGTATTTCCGCCAAATGCAATTTCCTCATATATGTATATATGTAAAGAAAAAAAGAAAAAAAAATGCAATAGGAGGAGACAAGTGTAATTGCGGTATATACTATTGCCGAAAGGAAGTATCAACGAGTCAGTTGCAGGAAATCATTTTCAATGCTTACACACGATGTAACTGCACGTAGCGGATTCGTAGTTTACAATTAACCAATGTCATGTCGGTGCACGCGTACCGATCTTTTGTAAGCAAGATTGGATATATACAACTTTGTATATATATATTTATAATATACTAATATAGTATATATATTATTTTATATAAGAGAGTGAATTGAAAAGTTCTGAGCCTATTATCTTCTATGTTTTGAGGTTATGTAAAAAAAATAAAAGTGAGTATGATCGAAACAAACTTGTTTCCATATTAATATTAAAACTTTTCAACCCATTATATATATATACATATATTAATATGTTTGTGTGTATAGATGTATATAAGTTACTGTATAAAATTGAAATTGGAGAATGTCGAGAGTTACAATATGGCCGCTTGATATACAATATATCCGATATATTAATGGATAAGAATAAACTGAAATATTCGATCTGTCATCAATACATTCGATACATGTGTGTATGTGTGTGTGTTGACATTTTACCCTGTAAATCTTGATATTCTCCAATTTCCATCTTTCGCGGTAACATTATATATATATATATATATATTAATCGATCGTGTAATCTTATGAAATTAATTGGAATCGTTTGGAACATTTATTATCAGTTTGAAATTCAAAGAACCTTTTACGATAAGTTACTTATGATCGATATTTACAATAACAGATCCGTATATAATTCCTATTTATTACTTTTAATAAGTTTTTACACGTGTAATGAAATAGCGATCGTAAATATGCAGTTTCGTAGGACCTGTTGATGGAATGATAAAAGGCGCAACAAGTTTGCAAACGAAAGAGAGATAGATCGATAGATAGACAGATAGATAGATAGATAGATAGATAGAGAAAGATAGAAACATGAAGAAAAGGTCAATCTTTAATTTAGTATGCGTTGTATCATGAAACAAAAGACAGGAACTTTCAAGCTCATAGTAAACATTATTTTACATAACTAACTCCACTTCGATCGCATCGCCCCCGCACTCGATTCATAACTCTAAATTAATCTCTTTCGAGCCGACGAACGTAGTCTTCATACACACACAAACACACACTCTTACACATACACACATATAATAGGATGAACAAAGCTGAAAATATAA